GGAGGTGTGGGCTGGTACTGAAATGAAAAGGATCTTTCTATTTCACCCACAAAGCTACCCAAGTCCAGTACTGCAGCTAACAGAATATTTGTGGTATTTACTGCCCCATCAAAACAACCACCGGCTTCTTCAGGTTGACTCATTTGAAAAGGAGAAAGAAGAAACAGGCAACATCCTTTCTAAGCACAGCTAATGTTTCAGAGAAAGAAATGTATCACACAAGGTTTCTTCTCTAAGGAGCAGCAGCATTTTCAGTGAGGTTACCCAAACTCAGTATGTCTAAATTGAAAGAGCAATTAGGCCTGTAATTTCAGCTGAGCATTTGAAGTCTTGAGTACACAGGGAAATTGGCCCAAATAACTATTAGGTACTAGTCCCTGCTAGTAATAAATGCTCTGAAGGCCAAAGGAAGGCATTAGCAGCCCTTGTGCAACTCCCTTAACAGGGTGTACACATGTAACTAATTGGAAACCAGTAAACAATCCTGGCATTGAGGCCCAAAGCAGATAATCTCACTCACACTACTTCAGTCATTTTCTTCTCATGTGGCTGACTGGAATAAAACTGCTAAAATACTGTTTCCCTCATGCAGAAAAAGATCTAGGGGATATAATAGATCACAAGCTGATTAGGAGTTAACAGTGTCAAGCCATTGTGAAAAAGGCAAACACTGCACTAAGCTGTGCAAACAGGAGTATGGCTTGCAAGACATGAGAAGTAATCCTGCTCTGGTCCAGCCCCAGCAGGAGCACCAGGACTGGTGCTGGGGCTTATTCTCCAACAGAGATGCAAAGTGCCCAGAGAGCATCCAGAACAGAGCCAGGAGAATAAACAAAGGTCGAAAACATCACTGAATAAATCAGAAGTCTCAACAGAAGCGTGGGATGGGAGGGAAACTCAACAGCAATTTGAAAATTCGTAAAATCATAAATTCATAAAGGGCTTGCATGCTGGGGAAGGACTAAAGGATTTGTGATGGAATTTGCAAGCCTCCTCAGGCAAAGAAAGGGTTAAGAGAGGCATTAGCAAGAAAGCAGCTGAGAAGGCACACAGCTGCAGGGGATAAAGCCACTGGGAGAGGGCTATCAGGGGACCCCTGCAGGAGGGGGCTGAGCAGCCTCCTGGGCTGGAGATACAGGCTGAAGGGATGGGGGCCTGTGTCCTTTCTGAGAGATTCTAGCCTTATCTTTGGGCAGGTTACTGGCCTCCTTGGTGGTATTTAGTCAGGGTGTTTGATTATAAAATCTTTTCTTAGGCCTGCAAAAAAGCAGAGTAGGGTGGTAAGGATCTTGTTTTCTTTTTAATGGCCCAGCAAAACTTTTCACATCTAGTCTAAAATGCAGACAAAGTGCCAAATCTACTAAGTTAGGAGAAAAGTAGGATAATTCTTGCCTGAGGTAAAATTTTAAGATGCTGCTACTAAGAGGATTCAAAGTGAGGAGCTGTACCTTGGGAACTGAACACTATGGAGGGGGAGAGAGAGAACAAGCAAAAAAGCATCTGTATAAAAGGGATAAGTTATGTTATAGGCTGTGCCTCAACAGCTCTAAAACTCAGGAGATCACAGAAGTCTGCATCTTTTAGCCAGAGGGAAAAGATCTTGGCCAGCCAAATTTCAGGGGGCTTAGAAAGTGCTGCAATATCTAAGCTGGATATTAAGAAATTCTTTCTATGGGCAAAGAGAGCAAGGGCTGCAGTGAAGTGGCTGAGGATGTTATGAAGCCCCATGGACCAGAAGGTGTTTGTGAGCTGAGCCTGTCTCAGGATGCCAGGACTAGATGAGCTTCTCATGTCCCCTTCTGCTGTTTTGTACTGTAATGAGAAATATTGCTCCCCTCTTCTCTTGCTATTCAACTGTGACATTTTATGAAAATAACAGAGCATTTTTGGAAGCTCAAAGCATTCTTTGAATAGAAGTGGTTTCAAAATTTGCTCAGAGCTGAATTTTTTACCTACTCTGTTGAATGATCCTTTCAACATAGTGAGTTCTAGAAATACTTCAGTACTAGAGCTTGTAACTTCAGTGACAAATGTGTTAAAAGAACACTCTATACTCACTCATTCTGACTTTCCACTAAAGATACAACCAAATTAAGTTGCTCACATGCTCCACAACACCAGATTTGTTTGTACAGATGCATTTTTACCACCCCAGTTACCATTTGAGCTTTTCAAAAAGAAACTAAACCCAAGGCTACTTGGCCTCAATAACCTCACTGATAGCCTACACAAGCAGTCCTGCTTTATCTTCTTTTAAACTCCAGTGAAGTCAGCTCAGATCTGCCCTCACAAGTCAATATGTCCATGTTGTTCATACTGTGAGTCTGTGTCATTTTAGAAATGACAGTTATATGTAAAAAAAAAAAAATCTAAAACAACTTTCTAGATATTATGTTTTTCCGTTAAGATGAGGAAAATTTCTATTTGATAGCTAAAGCCTCCAGAAACTGCAAATCTTAGGTTCACAGTAATTCTCCTCAAAAGATTATTTTGTCACAAATAAAACCTAACCATTCATTTGATAAGCAATGTCTGAGTTTGCAATGCTTTTAGCTGTGAGGACTGCTTTGTGAGCTGCCCCCATCACTGTGAAACATCTTTAACACAGAGCAACTGGAAGTAGAACTAGGACCAAACCATCTTTGCTTGCTTTTTAATGAGTTTGTTGTGACAGTGTTGGGAGATCTCTTTCCATTCTGCCCCACATGAAAGTGGAATGGGCAATGAAACAGTTGACTGTACTTTGGAAACTATTTCGTTCCCCAAGTTGCCCAAGGACACAGAAATGCCTGCTGGAATTTCAAAAGCCAGTAGGTAAGAGCTCTCACAATGGGTGTTAGCTGCCTAGGTTGCCCTGACAATCCCGCTGAATAGGTTCCACATGCTTATGGGCCTTTAAATGTCTTTCCAAACCCACCCCAAACAAAAATCACATTCTAAGCAGAAATTTGTATTTAATTACTTTCTGTGGTCAGCTACATAATATAACTTGGAAAACATTTCTGGTGGGTTTGACTGGTTCTGTATTTTCCTCAGGGAAGGCAGCAAGGGCTTTGTCTGCATTTTGTTTCGCTTAATGAGGCGCTGTCCCTGACTGGGACTTTTGTTTGGTTTAGGGTGAGTAAAGCAATACTCTGCTACACTTTCCTAGATAAAGCAAGGCACGCAGGCAACATAACAGTGCCAGCAGCCTTTGTCGCCAGAAACAGGAATGATCATATTTAACAGTGCTGCTCATGGAGAGATTAAACTCGGGCTGGACGGTGAGAAGCTGTGCAGATAATTTGAAATAGATTCCCAGGGTGAATTACTGCTTGGCTGTTCTCCTCACCTCAGTTCTCAGATTTGTGTGCCAACCAACATTTTAAGATAACTCTGCTCTGTTTGCTCCTTGAATTGTCTGGCTGTTTAACAGGCTCTTCAAATAAACAAGGGATAATCTCAGGATTTTGCTTAACAAAGATTGCTTTGTGCAAATTTTAAAAATTCTGAATAGGTTGTTGTACAGGGCCTGGTGCTGCAATCCCTTTTAGCTGTGAATACTTTCAAGGCAGTAAATGGTTGCACAACCATAATTTCAGTTAATAAATGATCAATAATACATTCCAGTATATTTTGAAATGCCTCCCGGTATCTGAAAGGGCCTACAAGGAAGTTGGAGAGGAAGTCTTTGTCAGGAACTGCTGTGACAAGACAAGGAGTAATGGGTACAAGTTGAAAGAGGGGAAAATCAGGTTAGATATCAGGAACAAATATTTTACTGTGAGGGTGAGGACGCCCTGGCACACGTTGACCAGAGAAGCTGTGGCTGTCCCATCCACTGAAGTGTCCAAGGCCAGGCTGGACAGGGCTTGGAGCAGCCTGGGACAGTGGAAGGTGTCCCTGCCCATGGTAGGGGCTGGCACTGGATGATCTTTAAGGTCCATTCAATTCCAACCCCTTAACATTCCATGATTCTATGATAATGGCACCATTACCACCAGCAATTTTTCCTTTTAAAACGTTATTAGAAACTTTTTTATTAAAAAAAAAAAAAAAACAACACAGGATAATGGCACCATTACCACCAGCAATTTTTCCTTTTAAAACGTTATTAGAAACTTTTTTATTAAAAAAAAAAAAAAAACAACACAGTAGTTTGGGCCAAGAAAAGCCCAGACTGGAGAGATTAGAGAACATTGGTGTTACCATTATCATTCTCCAGGAATATGTACAATGATCAACTCAAAAGCGAAAAATATGTTTAAATTTCCACAAATTTCAGTTCAAGAAGGTTATACCTGTCACCATACCTCAGTGGGGGAAATAACTTTGAAAAAGCGTTGTAACACTGCTGAAAATGTACAGGTTTGAGCTTAGAGACCAGTTGGGGAAGCGCGGGCAGCATCAGTTGAAGAATCAGTGTGAGAGGGAAAATGTGTGCTAATGTCTTAACAAACAATCCGATAAGTAGGTGAGTATGAGTGAGTATGAGTAAGTATGGGTCTTAACATCTTTGAAATGAGCCTTAATGTCTCTATTAACAAGTAGCAGGTTTGCTGCAGAGCTCAACTTGACTCCTGAAACTGACACAAGCCCGAACTTCCAAACTTTGGGGAAAGTGACATGTTTGTGGTGAGGGGAAACACGTGGCAGGCGACTGGGGACGGCTGTACCTTCCTAACCCCTCAGCACTGGGAAAAGCAAAGCGCAACAAGGGCCGAGATTTGGGGATAAAAGGGAGAGAGAAAACCCCGCGGGCGTGTGGCCTCTCTCTTTATTTGAATAAAGTTGCAGGACTCCTCGGTCTGTTTTGTGAACACTGGTTTTTCATAGCGTGATTTTCCATACGAGTGTCTTCACAGCCGGGGCCGAGGGCGCGGCCGGGTGCCCTCACGGGCTGGGGCCGGGGCCGGGGCTGGGGTGCCCTCGCGGGCCGGGGCCGGGTGCCTTCACGGGCTGGGGCCGGGGCCGGGGCTCGGCAGCCGCCGCCAGCAGAGCCTCTTCCGGCCGCTCCAGCCTCCGTCTCTGTGGTTGTTCCTCCCGCTCCTCCCTGCGGGGCGGCGGCGATGGCGGAGCCGGGGAGAGCCGGCGGGAGCCCCGAGCCCCCCGTGCAGGTGGTACGTGACAGGCGGGGCCGGGCCGGGGTGCCCGGGGCCGGGAGTGCCCGGGGCGGACACGGCGGCTCGGGCGGGGCCGGGGCTGGCCCCGGAGGACTCTCCCGGAGGGCTCGGTGCCGGCGCGTTCGGGTACAGGGGGCTGGCAACGAAAGTCGTAAAATCTTCCTACAACACTTCCTGTTTCTGTTACTTCCCGTACAAGTATATGTGTATATTTATGTATATGCATATGTACATGTATATGTACATATGCATATACATATACATACGTATATGTCCATGGATATGTATATGTTCATGTACATATACACACACATATATATACATACACATACATGTATATATACATATATGTACATGCATATATGTACATGCATATATATTTGTGTATAGTGTGTGTATATATAGTGTATATATATTATATTGATATAATTTTTAGATATGTGCACTTATCTATAAATAAAGCACATCAATAAAGTTAAATATATAACATCTATCTCTATCTGCCTATATAGCTATATACATAGAAATATAAAAATACAGGAATATATATAGTACTTGTCTAGAATGTGTGGAGTTCAGGGAAAAACAGGTCGTGTCACCATGCTAAATATAGAAATATATGTAATACTTGTGTAGAATGTGTGGAGTTCAGGGAAATGCAGGTAGTGTGACAATGCTCAAGTTCAGGTTTGATTCACAGCTCTGTTTCAAGAGTCACATTTGGCTCATAGGCTCTGTTGGAAGCTGCTGTAAATCAGCCTCAGCTAATGAAATGGTAATGGTGACTCAGATCACTCAGATGATTTGTAATGCCAACAGCACATTAGCTGTTTGCAGTTTATCTCCCAAATACTCAAAATTACTTTGAGGGAGCTTAACATCTCTGTAGTTCAGTTTTGGTAGCAGTCATCAAATACAGGAAGGGCTGCCACAAGGAGAACTAAAATAATCATCTGTGCTGGGATTGGGAAGTAAGACTTGGCATAAACTAGCAAAAAACACTGGAAAAAATCCATTCTAGTTTTTTTTTTATGCCTGCTTTTAGTGAGTGCCTTAGCAAGGTTGGTGTTTGACCCTGGAGGGGGTTTGTCAGCAATGCCAGAGCTGTGGTTGATCTTGTTTTGGGACAGGAGAAGCAGACACAGTCTCTGGAGGTTACTACCAGCTGGTATTATTGCTATGAGACTGTACCTGTAAGTGAAATAGTGCCCTGGTTCATGTTGTTCCCCTCTTTAAATGGTCCAAGGAGATTGAATTATTCTGATACAACCACACGACATTAAAAGCCAATTTATGGCTGCCCAGTTGCAACTCTTAATCCAGGGTACAAACCTGGTAATGAACGAGGGGGAAATGAAAGTCTGGATTGTTGATTTGTCCTCAAACTAAAACTAAACACAGAATACCAGTGAGCTGAGCAAAAATGGTGAAACTCAGTATACATCAGCAATACTCTGAGGTGTTAATCCTATTGCTGAGTACAGTTATTTGTGTGGATTTGTTAATTTTTCAGGTTTTACACAGAAGTATGATCAGCACTTCAGCTCTGGGCCTTAGTTTGGCAGGTGTCCAATTCTGCATGGTTCTGTAGAAGTAGAACTTGCTCACAGGAATGTGTTTAGGAGCATGTGAATATATTATGGGCAGTTCAATTCAGAGCACCTCAGTGCCATCAGGTATTTATGAGTTGTTTTATACGTGCTGCCCTCAAAGTACTTTTTTCTGCTTTCAGTTCAAACTAAACAGGGAGGTCAAACATCATCTTGCTATTTTGCACTGCTGCCCTGACTTAAAACAGGAGTACACCACGGAAAAAAAGCAAAGAAGTTCCAGTTTTCAAACCAATGGCAAGCCAGTTGGTGATGGCTTAGTCAAATTTTTACTGAGTGAATCAGAAAACAAATTGAAAAATAACTGATTTTTCTGGATGTGCAAAACTGCACAAGTTTTTATTGTCTTTGGAAGAATTGTGGAACACTTTTTTGTGAATGAATATGTTACATTGATTGGTATGAATGTGCAGGGTCATATTTAATTGCCATGTCCTTATAAAGAATATTAAAATCTTGAGTAAATGGAATATAGTATTTCAGAATCTCAGATTTTTGCTTTTATTTTAGTATCTAAAATAAGTACTAGTTTGAGACAGTTCTGAAATAATCTTTTTTATCTGTATGTTGTAATTATTGGATAGTCAGTTTCACTTTTTTTTTGTTTCTTCCTGTTTTATCTCTCTAAAACAAATCAAAGGCCTACTTTGCTTAAAGATTTAGAGAGCTTTTGTCCTACTTCTTTTAAGAACTGTTCCATCATCCTGCCAAAAATCAGTAGATTCATTCATTTAGATGTTTTCTGTTTTATTTGGCTGTGAAATGTTGTTAATCATTGTACCCTACACAGGACTGGGTTGTACCTGTGTGCACATCCTTCAGTGTCCAAAAATCTGCTTTCTGATGGGTGCACCTGTATTTGCACCTTGTACATAATGTTCACATGGCACTAAATTGGGAATAATTCCATCTCAGTATCCCAATGTTTTGTTTTTTAGGATTCTCTCCTGCTCACAACAGGAACAAATCCTCCTTTCTTCCAATTTGTGGTTACCCCAAATAATGAGGAGTTTAAGTTATGTTTCTAGGGACTTCTTGAAATGTCCCATGAGACTTTTTATGAGTTATTCAGGCCCTTCAGTTCCCCATCTAAAAGTAATTTTAGCAGGTTCAGACTTGGCTCTCCCTTTTCAAACACAGCCAGGGTACCACCAGGCTGATTTCTCAGGCATGTTGTGAAGGAAGTGTGTTCTCTTTTGAGACACTGAAAGAATTCTGGGGATTGTTGGCTTTTTAGAGATAATTAGCTCAGTGATGAGAAACTAAACTTGAACAGATGAAGCCCTCCTCTCTGGTTTCTAACCAATTTTCAAATCTTTCAGGTGTGTTTTCCTGCTGCGTGTGCCCCTCTGGAGCAAGGGGCTGTGGGAGGAAAGCTGGGCTGGCAGAGTGTGGAGCTCCATCACACATCAACTTCCAACGTGCTTTAGAGCAGTTGGAAATGGAATAATTTTTAAAATCTTGGCTGCACCTTGAGGGTCCAGCTGCATAATGAGCATCTCCAATTAGGCTTGAAGAGAAATTGATGAGTAAGATTTATTAATGGAGGACAAAAGTGAGGAGTGTCTCAAGAAATGCAGGAATACTAGAAATAGGTTAGGGTGGTGTTACAGATGTTTCATTTGTGGGTTTGCTTCAGTGGTCTCTCTTGTTTCCTTGGACTTCCACCAAAAACCATCTTGTGGAACTTAATTTAAAAAGAAACTTGATAGAGAAGAAAGCAAATCATATATTTGTAAGAAAGTAAATGTTCCTCACCTACTTTTATATTTTTAAGGTGCATTTTTTGGTGAAAGTTAGTTTCAGAAGGATCTGCTACTTCTCCTTTTTACTAAATATATTGTAAGTAAACAAAAATATGCTTCCTGACATGCATGTGGATCTCTGTTTGTTTTCTTGTAGTCTATCATTTTGCCTGTTCACAACAGTGAATGCTGGTTAGATGAATGCCTGAAGTCAGTTTGGGAACAAGATTTTAAAGGAACCATGGAGCTGTCAATTTTTAATGATGCCAGTAAGGTGTGTTTCAGACCTCCTTTAAAATACTGTCTCTAAGAATTTTTTGGTTGACTTCAACACACAAATTAAAATAGCTGCAACTATGTAATTATTTTTTCTAGGATGGTTCAGCTGAAATAATTGAAAAATGGAAGATCAAGTTGGAAGAAGTTGGTGTTTCAGTAATCATTGGAACCAACAATTCCTCTCAGCCTCGCGGTGGTATGTAGTGTAATTTTGTGAGTTTGGTTCTTATTGCAGGCACTTTCTGATTTTGAGTTTGAAAAGTGTCTTTGTAGCCACTTCCACTGCAATGGAAAAAACCCACATTGTTTTCTAGAGCTCTGTTTGAAAACTCATTCCAATTTGAATTTGGCCCTGTTGCTTTGGGCTCTGTAGAATTTGTTTATATGTTCAAGCAAAGAAGAACTTGGCTAAGCGCTTGTGTGCTCTACTCTGCAAAAGCAAAAGAATTTTGTTTAATTGTAGTATACACAATGTTGTTAATGCTTACAATTTTACTGTGGCTTTCTGATATCTGATTTATCTTCAGGAGATGGGTTTTAAGAAAAAATATATTAAAAATTCCTTGCATAAGGATTTTAAAAGTAAATGCATATCTTTCAGTCCTGAAATAGAAAATAAATACCTTTTTGATGTTGCTTCAATGATCAAATAAAAACAGAGGTTTTATAAGTTTTGATGTGAGCTAAAAACTCTCTCTAAAGTCCCAAGTATTCACTCAAAGGGCTAAACCAATATGTTTAGTGAGCTGTCAGACAGGTGTGTGATGTGATCCCCTATTCATTTGCATGCTAATATGAATTATCTCCCACTGCAGAAGATTACAAATAAATCTCTCTTTAAACAGATTTTCTTTTGCTTGCTTTGGTTGGTTTATGTTTGGGGGTTTTAGCACAAAATCTTCCTAAAATGTTAAACAGAAATAAAAGTCAGTTGGTTTTTGGAGAAGCTGTTGTTGAGTGACAGTAACGTTGGAAGATCACAAAGGCAGAACAATGTGCTCACAGTTTGTACTGGAGCTGTGTAACCAATGGTTCTGTCATTCTGGACTTTGTTTTAATGAGTAGACAGGTAGGAATTGTTGGTTCCAAGTTTGTGTCTTTGAAGTTATCTCTTAAAAGTCACACTTTGGGAACATTGTAACACAGAATTTGGACAGTTACTGTTTTTTCACTGCACGTCCTGTTTGAAGTGGAAAGAAACTCGGGCTCTTTAGAGTCTTCTCAAGATGATCTTCTTATGCAAAAGCCCACTTCTGTTCCAGAAAGTTTGCTTTTCATCCCCTGTTGAAACATGCAAATAAATTGGGAGTTTGTGCACTGAATTCATCTGCAACCTGGTAGAGGCCCCTGGCTTTATTTACTGTCATTTCTCCTGACTGTAGGCTTTACATCTGTTTTTAAATAGTTGTCAGACATAGCAATACTGAAGTAACACAGCATAACCCTTACTATAAATATTTTTAGTATTTTAATACCTTTAGCATGAACTGGTGTTGTTTTGACAGTGCAGCTTGTAATATTAGAACTATTGGGCTGGTAATGACAAAAGGCAGACAAGGTTTTTAGAGGGAATTTTTGTCTTTTGGGCAACTGATACAGCTGGAGTTGAGCAATGTCAAGAATTACTCATAATCCTGTAAATTTTTTCTTCTTTTTTGTCCCCCCTCTGCTATTGGGTGAGCAGTCTTTTTTCAAAACTGACTTCTTTTACTGATCAAGAAACTGATCAAGAAATGAAGTAGGTTGCAATTTCCTAAGTCAAAGAATAATCCCAGAAGTTGTTAATTCTGTTACTTAAGATAGCTAGTAATGTTTCTACTAATCCCATCATGTTGTGTAACATATTTTCCATTTTTATAAACATTTGCTATGTCTAAAATCTTGTTCCTACTCGAGTGTTGTATCAATTGTGTATAAACTAAATTTTAGTTTGCCAGAACACACAAGCAGGATAGGGATTTTTTTTAAATTTTAGAATTCTGGTGTCAATTCACCTTTTCACTTCAGGAAACTGAACCTAAAACTGAGTTCCAGTTGTGAATTCCACTGTGCCATTAGGGATATGTCAGATTATTAAATTATTTTTTGGTTTAGCATGCATTTGTCAGTGTTGGGGTAGCTGGAGACTGAACAGATCTCCAATAAATTGGGGATGAGAGGGGCTGTGCACTATTTAAATATATAATTTAAATAATAGTGTGGAATGCATAGTTCTGCTAAAAAACAAAGCCTGGAGACACTCTCAGGTCACAATTCAAACAAGGACATCTTTACTCCATGGTTGTTTAATTTTAGAAGCAGGTTACTTGAAATCCATAGCATTTGTTTGCTTTTGGTGATTTACTTTCATTTTGTTAAGGACTAGGTACAACTGGAAGGAGCCTTGCCTTTAAAAGAAGATGCTTTGGTACAGAAACAATGTACTAGTCAGGCTTCACATCTTCAACTATTTACACAAGATTAGGATTTATTTCTGATTCTTTTCTAACATGTAAAAGAAAGGGGGGGAACCTTGGAAAAAAGAAAGGGTCACTTGCCTAAAAAAAGGAAACCTTTTTCTTTCCAAGAGTAAGGAATGTTAATATCTCACTGAGGCTTAAGTTTTTACGGCTGTAACCATGGTAACAGGCTCTTTTCACCAAGTAAGCAGGCCTTACAAAACTCAGAGACCTGGCACAAACATTTCATTTTGTTCAGTAGAGTAATATTAAAGAATTTTTTTTTACTCATGCCAAACACAGAATTTGTTGTGGTGAAAGAATTTTTAATACCTAGTTTCTTCTATGGGGAGTTATATTTATCTTCTCAATAATTTAAAAAATGTGTGTATTTTCTTGTCTCTCCTCTAAAAGATATCTGGTATATGAAAAAAACTCAGGATGTTTCTGTCTTAAACATAGCAAGAAATATTTTCCAACTCATTCTCATAACAAATACTAGATATTTCTTCATTTTATTTAGAGTGGTTTATTTGAAAATGACATCTGAAATACTTCAGGAAGTTCATAGAGTTATATAATTGCCATCTTCTAGTTGATTTGAAGACTCCTTCACTCTTTTCTTACAGCTTTGCTTCCTTAATGAATTATTTTCCATTGAAAGGCGTTGAAATATTTGGGTGTGTTAATGACAGCACTGAAATGTAAGTCCAGGCCACTTTACAGCTGCTGTGGCTTCTGATAGCACTGATGTGTTTAAAATTGGGCAGATTTAATCCTGTCATCATTTTTGTGCTGTTCTTTTATCTCCAGCTTTACTGGGGGCAAGTGAAGGACTGGGGGTTGCTGCTTTGGCGTGCCCAGGCCTGCTGACTCGCATCAGTGGTGGTGCCAGGACCCAGCTCTGCTGCTGTGGCAGCTCCTGCCTCTGCCAGCTGCTTTTCTGCTGCCAGTGGGAAGGAGACTGAGAGTTACTGTGCAGATGAGATTCCATATTCACAGCGCTGTAAAAGGCAGAATGTAAACATCCTGTAAAATAATAAATCCAAAAAAACGCGCAATGAGGAGAAGTTGAGGTGAGGATTAAAGTACGTGAGAAAAAATAACACAGTTATAAGGAAGGGCCTTTATTAGTCCTGTTCTGGTGGTAGTTGACATAATGTTCCTTGAGGCAGTAAGAAATGCAGTCATAAGTCTTTTTCTGTACTTGGACAGCTCAGCAAAATAGCCAAGGAGCACGTGCATTACAACTAAGGGAACCTTTGAGCCCAGTTAAATCTGTTTCCTGAGCTAACTTAAACATAAAAGGATAAGAGAATTACAGAATTCTGCTTTTTTTCAAATGCTAAGACAGAAACTTTGTGGATAATATTATTTAAAATTATTCTGCTCCACTTCATGGTGAGATTTTTTGGCTTTACATTTTTCAGTTTTCCCTCTAAAGAGTATTCAGTTTTCCCTCTAAAGAGTAAAAACCCTACAGTATTACATGTCTTCACAATAATGTTAATTTTGCAGGTCAGGGTGATCTTGCTGGATTCCCTGATTTGATTCCATAAATACTCCAGAGGAAGCTGAAGTGTTTCATGTGTGACCAAGTGGAATCCATGCAGCATTTTTCAGACTAACACTGGATGTAGGGTGGGCTTTTCTTAGAATGCTGCCCAGGGCAAGAATTCAGAGATCAGAAAGTTCTTAGGTTCACCTTATCTACCTGCAAAAATGATCCCAGGCAAGCATTCCCACCTTGTGGGTGTATCCCAGTGGTTGCTGCAGTCCCATCCTTACCTTCAGCTGTGGATTCCTGCTCTTTCCTATTTTTCTGCTTCTGCCATTTGTTTGATCCTCCAGAGCAGTCATCTACTTCAGAAATTAAGCTGACAAAACAATTTGCTTCTCTGGTTCCTTCATTTCTTCCTGAAATGAATGGGTTGGTAAAAAGATTCACCAAGTGTCAGGAGGTCAGAAACTGAGACACCCTGCATGCCAATGTTGTCATTTGTCTGAAATGACATTTCAGTGTGGTCTCCATTGGTGATACAACGTGTTATGGTATAAAAAAATCACCTTTGTGCTCTGTGTATGATTCTAATAAATCTGCCTTTGGCTCCTCTCTGCATCCCCTTTACATGAATGGCACATGAAGGTTTTGTATTTGCAAACTTTATATTTGACAAGCACCAAGGAACAGAAATTTTTAGTCCTTCTGAGAACCCTGATGGGAAGAACAGCAGTTTCTGGTCCTTCCCTGCCTCTTTTTTGATTTGCTGGTATTTTTTAGGGCTTCAAAGATGAATGTGTGTATAGCCAAGGGTTTTCAGCATCTGCTCTTTGCAAGGGGTTGGCCTGGATGACCTTTAAAGGTCCCTTCCAGCCCAAAGCTTTCTGTGATTCTACAAGCTGAGGTTCTGGATATAAAACCTGCCCCCTTCAAGATACACAGTTACATATTATATCTTTGGGGAGGGCTGACAAAAGTACTCTTATTCTACTTGATTGTAGAATTCTGGTACTCAGAGAAGGTGACTGACATAGGACTCCTATGTCAATATTCACAAATTACCTTACTTTAAATATGGAAAAATCTGGTACCTTATGTGATACTGATTTGTGTATTTTCTTTTCATTTGTTCAATTTTATTAAGATTTTAAAAGATGCAACAGTAAAAATTCCTCCATTTTTTAATCTTTGCTTTCTCAACAGTTGGATTTGCCAAAAATCAAGCAGTAATTCAGAGCTCAGGAACCTATCTCTGCTTTCTGGATTCAGTAAGTTAATGCTTTTTGTCTAACTTGGTTTTGTCAATAAAATCCTTTCCTTTTTAATGGAGTTGCTGATTTGCTATAAGACAACCTGCTTAAAGGAGTTTGTTCAACGTGCTGGTTACTATTTATGGCTGGAAAGTTGTATTCCAACCTGTAGAAAGCCTTACATCATTCTTTGATTATATCAGATTTCACAAGCTGTTGTGAACAGGGCTGGGCAAGGTTGGTATTTAGGTGTTTTGAGGATTTCTCTTTCCCACATTCTTCAGAAAATTGTATTGATGAGAAACTAAGAGCTAATCTACTGGCTTTTTGATGTAAAATAGGAGAAGTCTCACCTTCCAAGTTGAATTTTTTTTTTCCTGTCCTTTGTTGGATATCTTCTGTGAAGCCATTGAGCTCAGTAACCCGAAGATAAGGATCTCCCTTATGCAGCTGAATATGCAGGAATGGTTTCACAAAGGTGCCCAGCTGAGCACAGGAGTGGGGCCGTGTGCTGGGAGCAGGCAAGAAGAGCAGGACCTTCAAGGCTCACTGATCTCCTGTAATTTCACCTGAAGATTGATTTTTTTTTTTTTTTCCCTCTGAACCCTCTGTTCATTGGAACTGAACTATGGGTTAGGGTAAGATGAACTGGCTGCTGACAGGGTTGGTTTTCAGCTACAATTCAAATGAATATTATGATTGTGCTTGTTAAAAGTGTTGTGAGAGCAGGTGTGTGAGCTCTACAGCCATTCTCAGGTTTTAATTAGGGAAATCCTTCAGTTTGCAAACCACACCTGCCTTATCAACTTGATGGAAGATATTTTTTTTTGTTCATATGTTAAAATGTTGTGATTTTTGTGATATATTGTTAGTCAGTGAGGCTGTTTACATATCTGAAATTAAAAATAACCAAACCCAAGGAAACTTGCTTATGATTTGCAAAGTTTGAGTATTCTAGGCTTGCATTACATTGCACAGGCCATTCTAGGGAGTCTGTGGGATGAGGAATGTGTGTGCTTGAACTGGCTGAAGTCATCTGAGTCCACCAGTACATGAATGAGAAATTAATCTACTCTTGTCCCAAGAAGCTTCCTATCTTCTGTATCAGATATGTATAGCATGATGTACTGAAGTAAATGATGGGTTAGTCTTTCTTTTCCATCCAGGGAGATGTAGTTGTTTGAAAATCACTAGCAGTAAACTAGAAAATCACATTCTCTAAATGAAGTTAATTCATATTTTCATAGTGATTCTTCAGAATTCTCAATTTGTTATTTGCCATATATTAAAATCTTCCTGCTGCTGTGTTTCTGTTGTCTGACTATTGCAGGAAAACAAAACATCAGGGAGTCGAATTACAGTTAAGTTATTAAGGAATATAACTGGTTATGATACTGTATTTCTGCAATATTGTCATTAGCAGAAGTTTATATTTAATATTACCAAGCATTACTTGAAGTGAGTTGAGGATTTTATGGTTTACAGTGTGGATAAGCTTAGGAGAAGTTACAAAGATTTTCTGTTCTATGCATTTCTATTGCTTCTTCAAATCAGAGGCATTCTGGACTACCAGAAGCCCAATCTTGTTACAAAAGAAATATTAAATACCTGGCATTACTTAAATGTATTTTCTACTGTCTCCCCTTGTGACTACCATGTTTTGCTGAAAACAGATCAGAGCCAATAAAATGGATGTTGAAACTGCTACAAGTCCAAAAATTGCTCAGTGTTTTGGCTGTAGTTAGTAAATGTTGTGTGCTAGTAGCTGGGGCACAGATGTTGCCAGCTGTTTAACAACTCTGCTTCCACACACCACCTACCTTCTTCATTTCAGTCACCAGCCCAGCATCCAGCTCTCTAGGAAGGAATGTTGATATCAGCCTGCTGGAATGTGCTGCAGCCATGCCAAGGAATTGACCTTCAGAAGTGCAGCCACAATTTCAGCTTTGCTGCAGGTGAATGTGGGAGAGGAATGGAGCTGTTTGTGCACATCTGAAATAGGTGGAGAAATGCATCCCTGGCTTTTTGTGCATTCTTTGTTTTCTCTGTGAAGTGAAATGAGTGGATGAGCATATTTGAGAGCATCTTTGGAAATGCTGGCTCCAGCAAGGCTGTTTTTGCTTGCCATTCCAGCTGGAGCCAAGCTGCCCGTGTTATGTCTCTCAACACAGATTTCTGAGGACAACAAACTGGGAAGAAATGTGGAAAAAAAAAGGTTACAGGTCTCAGAACTGTCAGAATTTGATCAGCCTTTTCTAGTGTGAAGTGGCAGCTGTTGGACTAACAGCTATTGTGGAGTTTTTTACTGTGGTTGTTGTTACAGATTTCACCTCCAAGCTGCCGAGGCATTTTTTCCCCTCTGGGAAAACAAGTAGAAAAATTGAAGCTACTTAACAATTTTTTCATAATATGGGAAAATCAGGGCTAATTTTGCAAATATATTTCACTGTTAGCTTTTCTTCTTGAAATTGTCTGCAGTTATGACTTTATCTGCCAGTTTCATTGTACTGTAGCTGTAGTTTATCATTTCTCTGGGGTGGTGCCATCTTTGTTAGGAGCATTTACCCCCTTGCAGCACAGCAGAACTCACATTAAAAATTCTGCTTTGAACTGCTGTTTTCATTGACATGCACATAAACATGCCTCTACTTGTCTGAAACTGTATTTCTTTAAAAAAGGATCATGCTTTCATTTCATCCTAATAATCTGTGGAGTTCCAGGTTTTATTTCAGGTTGTTTCTGTTTATTTCAGGTTTATTCTGTGGAGTTTCCAAGTTTTATTTCAGGTTTATTCAGTGTGTTGTTGGAGAGTTTCTGGCTGCTAAAGAAGAAACATAAAAATGTGTCCTGTTTTGACCTGCAGTGTTTCAAACCCAGTCATAATCACTTGAGAACTTAACGTGCTTGTTTTAATCTTTTGAAAGGCTCTGTTGGCAATGTATCACAATTTCTGAGATTCTCAGGCAGTTCAAAGATATGACTTTAAACCATGTTCCCACAGTGTCACTGCTTGCTAATAGTCAAAAATGCCATGGGGACACAGGTAAGTTTTATTCACCAAAAATGAGAGTGAACCACAGCAGATTTGTCATTCCTGTGATAGAATTGGCAGCTGCTGACCTGTTCCTTTTGGTCTGGGAGATTGGTTTGCACGATTTAAATTGGGAATGGTAATTCTTTATTGCTGTGTGCATAATTGCTTAATTTCAAATTGCATGTGTTACTTGAGGTTCAAGTTCAAACTCACCTTGTTGAGGGGTGTTGCTAAAGGCCTTGGAGGAAGATGGTGGGACCTTCTCCAGCCAGATGTGTCAGATACAAATAGATTGGTTTTTCCAGCCTCTGTAACTTCCTGGGTTTGGAAGCCTGGATTTCCTTTTAGTTGCCATTATACATTACAGGTGTTAATAAATTTCTGAAATATTCTTCCTCTATTTCAAATTAGTCTGTATTTCTTAGGAAATTTAGATGTGATCAGATTTTCTTTCTGTTGTCGTTTAACATACTGTTCCTTGGAAACTTATCCTCTGATTTAAAAACTGAAAGAAGCTGTTTCACAATTAGCAGGTGTGGATGTGGTGGTGAAATCCATTACCAGAAGAGTTATCCATCTTTCCTAATCACTAATGAGCCCCAAAAAGTCAAAATACAAGTGCTTGAAGGCATCATCCCTCTCATTGTTTTGTAAAGATGTGCTTGTATTAAAACCAGATTAAATGTCTCTGTCTGATATGAAATGTTAGATGAAGAGGCAAACCTTCAGAATTTGGTTGCCATAACCTCTCCCTACATGTGTGTTCATCTATTCAGCAGTTAAAGAGGGCATTTGGAATCACTGGGAAAGTTTTTACTCTTGTCTGGGTTTACTGGCTTTGCTGCTGAGCACCTTGTGAGTTACCTGCTTCACTTCCTTGCAAACACATCATTTTTTTCAGTGATCTAACTATGAGCAAACATCAAAAGTGATCTCCAGTGACCACAGAAAAGCAAGATATAGGAAGGCATGTGTCTGCATTTGTTGAATAAATGCACTGAGCTGGGAACTGCTTCTACAGCAAAAGTTTCCTGACCAGCTAATAGTGATACTTAATTAAAAGATTCCATTTAAAAGATTGTCAGGCTCATAAGAGCACCACATAGATCTTTCCATGTAGACCTGTTTGTTGCTATGCTCAAAAATAGGAAAGGTGCTCAATGTAGTCAGCTTCTTAAATTTGAAATGTTTTCTTTGTTGTCCCCTTCTTTCTCAGTTTAATTTGGGAGTAGAAACAGAAAAGTAGCATTTTTTCTTATGATTTTTTCTTGCAAGTACTGACAGATGATTAGTCCCGGGTGATTTGTGGGTGCCATTGGAGTGCCTGGTTCCAGTGAGTTTGATGGTGTGGGGCTGTTCAAAGAGCAGCCCCCGGAGGATTGCTGGGATCAGGGTATTTCCTTCAGCAGAGCTGCTGACAGGCCACTTTTTGGAGGTGCCAGGCATTTCACTTTCCTGCTCCAAGGAGTTGAACTGAACAATAGCAAAGAAAGATTTTCCTTCCAGTCTGAGCAGGTGCAGGATAAATGAATGGACCATTTGATGAATTGAAAGATTTTGGAGATGCCATATTGTTGCTCAGTGAGTGAAACATTCCTCCCGCTGCTGCTGCTGGTTGCATTTTGAATTTAATAACTGTGATGGGAAGAAGGTGCTGCTGTTATGGGAGTGAAGTGTATCAGCTCTCAATCCTTTTTTTTTTTTCATTTTGAGCAGAAAAATATGAAGGAGTTTGGAAAAGCAGGAGATGCTGAGTGTGTAATGTGAGCTTAAGAAAGCACCTCAGTACTGACCTATAATGTTTTGTTTTCTGTGAACTTGCCCTTGGTTGCAAAAAGTAGATGTGTATTGTGCATTGAATTGTATATTTTGTTTTACTTTCTCAAGTGCAGAAGCACCAATTTTTAAGGGAAAATGATGAAGTTACCACTGTGGAGCCCAATATGCTTCACACAGCCTGGCTGAAGGGGCCAGCTTTTGTATTCCAAGTATATGACTAGGGAAGGCATGCATTTATTGAGCATTTATTTTAAATTTCTTTTCTTTTGTCCATTTTTTCCATGGAAGAAATTTCTCTTCATCCTGTCAGCTGAATATCTGCTAGGGGACAGCCATTAGAGACTTCCACATGAACAGAGAAAATTGGATTATATTGTAAACTTCTGTTTTGTTAAAATTATTTTTCAGTGTAAGTCACTGCTACTGTTATCTTCCCTACCCTCACCTAGGAAACAGAAACAAACTAAATATACTTCCTTTTTTTGTATAGGCCCTTTTTTTTTTCTGTCTGAAATGAGTGAAAAATAATTTGGAAAGTATTTGCCTGATTACTGAGGTTTTATTCTCAGTGTTAAACCAAGAAAACCAAAAAGATGACCAAACTCTGCCTGTAGAAACCAAAGCCTCCAACACCTTTGCTGAATTCAATATCATAAGTGCAACAGCTTTGATAGAAAATTTGTGATTCATTGTGTACTGTTGGGTAAAATATTTTACCCTCTTAGTTGTTTAATACTGTAGTTGCTAAAATTCCGTAATTTATTTAAGGTGCTCTTAATTTGTGGTGCAATCACTTTCGTTTTACTAATTCAAATTTATTTAGGGTTTTAAATACCAGTCTTAATTCCATCCGAGTTCCCTAAGATTATTTCACTACAAATGCATTTATAAAGATTATTTCACTATAAATGCATTTACATTTCACTATAAATACATTATAAATAAATAAATGAAACTTTCCAGTCACACGTAGTGAAGAGTCTGTCAAAGTCGGATTTTGCAGTTACTTTTCTCATACCAACCTGAATCCAAAAAAGCTGAATGATGGTTGAATCTCATTTCTGTCTGGGATGTGATTTATATTTTGTGCTTATGTCATAGTATTATTATATTACTCATTAGTATTATATATAGTATTAGTATATACTATATATAGTATTATTATATTACTCATTATTATAATATTTGGGATTATGCCCCAAAATATTATATTTATTATATATGGTATTATATAGTATTATTTATTAGTAGTAGTATTATAAAGTATTATATATAGTGTTATATATAGTATTAATATATACTATATATAGTTTTATTATATTACTCATTATTATAGGATTTAGGGTTATGTCCTAAACTATTATATTCTTTTTCCCCCATCTTTCTTTCTCCTTCCATGAACTCAGAAGGACTCACAGAACCATCCCTCAGTGTGTGTAAAGCTGCCAATACAAAAATGAGACAGAATTATTAAAAGAAATACAGGTCATGCAGGGTAAGAGTTCATAGAGTTTTCCAGCATTAGAGAACAAAGCTGTATTAATAAAAAGAGGCATTTAGAAGTTTTTGTGGTTATAGTGCCCCCTCTTTAGCTGGAGTTTACAGAATTCTGATGCTCTCTGATAGCCTAAGCCCCAGATCTGTGAGTTTTGCCAATAGCATCAAACTGCCCCAGTGTTTTCTTGGGGGAATGGGGCCATTCCTGTCAAACTGGGTGGTTGTGAAAACATGACACCGACCTCTTTGGTGCATAGGTTATTTTGATTTGGTTTGAGTGCTTTCCATGCTGATTTAACCTTTTTCAATCAAGTATATTATTTTTCATCTTTGTGAATGTGAGAGTTCTCTCTTGTGTGAGATCAGGAACAGTGAGATCTTTTAGCACAAGAGCAAATGTTTTATATTGTAAAAAATGAGAGTAA